AAGGACAAAATTTTGAGAAATTCTCCAGAAATACGAGCTGTGAAAATGGCTGCGGTATCCTCATTTGACTTTTAACATACTCAGAAATTTTCATGTGGGTCATAATCACAACAGGTGTTTACTCGCATTTTAGCAAGTTGTTTAAAAATCCCACGAATGATAGATTAGATACAACATATTAGATGTTATTCTTAAATTTCGAGAACACAATATCGCTTTTTTCGCTGATATAGAAAAGGCATTTCTAATTATAAGTATCCCCGAGGAAGATCGCAAATATTTAAAATTTCTTTGGTTTCAGAATGACAACAATGAATCGTTCAAAATTATGAACATAACACCCTTACCATTTGGTATTAGTACCAGTTCATTCATTCTAGCAGCTACAATAAAGCACCATATTAAAAATACATCACTGAAAATCCTGAAAGTTATGAAATGCTGAATTTCGTCTTTATACGTCCATGATTTGTATTATGGAACGAGTACAGTAGAAAAGGCATACCAGTTGTTATTTGATGCAGTTACGATTTTAAAGCATGCGAATATGAATCTGCGTAAATTTAATTCTAATTCTAAGGAGTTAACAGACATGTGGTTATAAAACGGTTTATCAATGAATGATCCTTTTGCACAAGGTAAAATTTTTAGGTCTTGATTGGGATACAGAAAATGATACTATTAAGCTATATTTAAAATCACGAATCATCTTTAACTAGAGGACAGTGTTACAAGTCACTGTTAAAATTTATGATCCAACTGGACTTATATGACCATTCGTGATTAGAATTAAAATCCTACTATAGAAAATATGGGTAAACGGTCTTGATTGGGACGAACAGCTTCCAGATAATATTGAAATTGAATTTAAGAAGTGGCTTGCAAAAATAATTCATTTACAAGAAATATCGATAGATAGAAAATACTTTCGAAATGTTGATAAGCAAAATAATGACATTTCATTACACATATTCTGCGATGCAAGTAATAACGCCTATGAATGTGTAGCATTACAAATAAGTTTGGTGAAATCAAAACGAGTTTCATTTTATCAAGGACCAGAGTAGCTCCTCTTAAAAGCTTAACATTGTCCTGATTAGAATTGATGGAAGCAGTGACGGCAGCCAGACTTGCAAAATATCTAACCAAATTATTTAATAATATTTGTCAATAGATATATTTATGGACAGATTCGCAATCGTATTACACTGGATCAAAGGATCTTTTAGCAACCGGAAACCTTTTGTCTCTAATATAGCTGCAGAAATTCAAGCCTTGACGAATCCCAATAACTGGAAACATTGTAGTGGTAAGAAAAATCCTGCTGATTTATTAACCAGGGGTTTGAGTGTAAATTCTCTGAAGACTTGTTCACTTTGGTGGTTTGGAACAAAATGGTTACAAAACCAACATATAAACTCATCAGTTCAACCGAAGTTTGACATGGGGAACGATGAACAACTAGAACGCCGTAGCAAGATATCTGTTTATGACATTGTTGTGGAAAGAGATGATCAATTATTGAATATAAAAAAATTCAGTAATGTGCTGAAATTTCTCAGAATTGGGGCATGGATTAAACGTTTCGTTGCTAAGGCAAGAAAACTGCCCGTTAATAGTGGAACATTATAAGTGCTTCTGAAATTCAAGACGCTGAAATATTTTTCTTGAAGCTCAGATGGATTTCTTCCCACCTGAATTTAAAGCTCTTCAATCTAAGAAGTCAAATTCTCCAAGATCTAATATAAATGTTTCTTGCATTTAAAATTCTATTCCGCATTAAGATTTAACTTGAAATTAATATAAAATGAACTGGATAACTTGAAATTTAATAACTTGAAATTAATGAGAGAATTAGATTTTTGTAGCTTAGTTTACGTGAGATGAGATCACTTGTAGTCACGTGATATGAACCGGCAAATAAGGATGCTGTACCATGAAAGCATAGTAAATTCTTAAATTAATTTCGTTTTACAAATTTATTGTCTTTATTTATTGCCTTTTTACAAAATTTTAAACGACATTAAAATGTTTATGCCTTCAAAATAAAAAATCCTGAGAACTAACGTTTGTTAACATATTTTACGTGTGTTGTCGCCAATAAAGTCTGCTTGGCTAGATTTGCGTCGGCGAAACGGAAAAGTACCCAGAATTATTACTAAATGACTTTGCAGCAGTAAGGAACGAATTGACAAAAGAAGCATTGTCATATCTATGTAATCAAAACCGAACCGTTATGGTCTCGATGCGAATAGGAGTTCAGCAGTCGCTACAGCAAGGTAAGCTAATTGCAAAACGATTACCACTTCCACAGCCGGCACAAAAGAATCGACGGCACAACGAGTTCAAGGATAGCCGAAGTCTAGTAGCAAGCGATTTCTGGGACTAGTATTGTTACGTTTTTCTTCTGACACCAGTTGTTACGTTATTTTCTTCCTTCGCGTTCGTACGGGGTTCGTGTGGATTTGGAGTGAATAACGACGACACTTGATGAAGTATCGAAACACACTTTATTGGCCAGTATTGTCAGGACAGCTCCAAAACACGTTCTTACAGTCGTCGATGAACTACTATAAACACGCTGACACAATCAGCGACACAGCCTTCAGGTTATCAGGCTATCACGGTGGAGGCAGCTTTACTGCAAAGCACCAGAGTACAGCTCCTGACTCTGCTCGGTCGTTCTCGGAACTGCACGTGGTCTCGAGACTCTCCACGCTTCAACTCGCGATGCACTCGACGGCACACAGAGCACGACTCCCGATTCTTCGGTTCAGTCGTTCCCGGAGCTCAACACGCTATCTCTACGATGCACTAACCGCGATATACTAAGAGACTCCTTCGGTGAACACGACGACCGACTCGGCACTTGCTGCCCGTCTGTCAACTCGATCGACTCCGCAAGGATTGAATCGCTAGACGAGACACCAACTCGATACTAACTAACTCGCACTCGCACTCTAGACGAGGTACACTCTATCAGCTCGCTAGGCGAGGCACAAACACTCGCCCTCTCGACGAGGCACACTCTCTGTCTGCGTACCAGCAGGGTTTATATAGCTCTCGGCTTGTGTTCGAGAACATTCTGGGCTAAACCGGTAAGAATTCGTTCCAGAAGGTTCTCCATCCGTCCATGGCATATCGCCAATTTTGTCGCGAAGAATCGCCAAATGTGGCCACCCTGTCTTTCCTTTCCATTTTATGGCAACCCTAAAATTGCTTTGCGGGGAAGCCATCTTACAGCGCTTGTACATTTCGTAACAGTATGAACAATGAATGAGGGATTCCAGACGCACGAAAGCATCGAACAAAGACATAACTTAATTTTCTTGTTCTATTAATAGAAATATTATTCAAAAATTAAGACTGATAAAGACAAGTGTGGTTTAGAGTACGAAATAGCAAATGATTTAAATTAAATGTAATATTAATTAAAGTGTCGACTGTAATTCTGGAAAGATTTCGAAGTTAAGTGATTTGAAGTTATAGTGTTCGCTGAACTATAAACGTAGCGTTAATATTTTGAGATATTGTAAACAGAAAATTTAATAAATAAGGAGGGAATTAAGGAAAGGTAAATAAATCTACGGCCAGACATACGCAAGTGTATAAATAAAGTCAACACACATAATACTTAAAAAAGGATAACAACTAATTGCATAACATAAATTTCAGGCTTATAAAATGAAGAAATAGTACCTTTATTTCATATAATACCCATTTTCACTAAATTTTATTATAATAATACATTATTACACGACTTTTAACAAAATGCAATTTATGGCCAGATACGCAGGGAGATCCCCCGAAAAAGGTTTCAAGCATCAGAATTAAAAAAGTAATTATTCTGAAGGGAATACTTGAGGTGCGGGCCGTGATTCGTCGTCCTGATCGATCATCTGGAGAGTGCGATCTGGATTGTGCCACAATAGACAAGGTTACGTGAAGCCATCCGACACAAGAGCCCCTGAATGTTGAGTGATGGTTTCATCCTCTGCTCGCCAAACTGAAGAATTTGTGAAAGTGGGAAGTCTAGCGTCATCCCCACTACAGTCCATATTTAGCACCAGTGACTTTTTTCTTTCGCGAAATTGAAGGAAAATTTACCTGAAATGAGATTCTCTTCAGACAGTGAAGTGAAAATAGCCACCGAGAAATGGCTCAATGAGCAGGGACGTGATTTCTACAAATCCAGGTGAAACAAGTTGGATCTTGTGTTCAGATAAATGCCTAAATGGATTTGATTATTCCGTGGGAAAATGATAGGTAAGTACGTCTCTGAATTCTCTTTTGTATTTTCTGTCTATTGTTTAATAAATATTTTTTATTACCCTTGTAGCCTTTTTTTTTTCTGGATCTACCCTTGTATTGCTTACTGATGTTTTCACTGTAATGCTATTGCATTTTTATTGATAAACGAAATATATGAAGGCCGTAAATGTTTGTTGTTGAATGGCATGATTATAAATAAGCGTTGGAAAAGTAAATGCCTTAAACGTCCGCTTAGAAAACTATACTTTGAATTTATTTTCTTTGTAGGGTTTATAATTATTTTAACTAACATTTATTTTAAGTTTAAACTATCTTTCCTGTCAATCCTTACTTTCCCCTGGAACTGCCAATGCCAGAATATGTAAATTTGAGTAGAACGCGCAAGCATTCAAATTATCAGCGGAAGTAGTATGATTTAAATAGAAGGAAACGAGTTCGGTGTGTGAGTTATTCTTACTTAGCGAGCGCGGAGGTAGTTATAGAGATTTGAAGAACCCCGCGTTGCGGCCTATGTGCAATGTGGCAATGTGCTTGGCGGGAAGTAGTTGCAATTGTTCCAGTGAGCTTCAAGTCTGCTGAATTAGCAGAGATATTGTAAAACGCGGTGAGTTAGTTATTTTAGAGAGCCTCGTAGTTAGAATCTTGTCTTTACTTTCTTTTTCAGGTTATTATTTTGTTTGACTGCCTAGTTGGCACAGTTTGTAAGCGTCAAGAGGACGCAGTTGTAATTTAGTACGTTGAATAAAAAGGGACTTAAACCCTTTACAAGACTCTGTGGTTTATACAAGCTTTCACAGTCACCCTTGGTTGCGTGCAAGTTAGAGGCACGCAACGTTATATCTTGATTATGAAAACGGGACTCATTGACGCTGGAAGAAGCGAAGGCGTATTGGGCTAAGGCACTTGAGCGTCACCATTACGAAAACATTCATCTTATCCCTAGGGTCTATAGCGGTGACCCGGAAATTTCGGATGACATGACTCAAAGCAACTTTCATTTCCATCATTGCAAATTTCTGACCTAAAGGGAAAAAAAAGGTTTGGTTGGTTAACTGGTAGATTTTATGACGCATAAGTTCAAATGTTACCATGAGACAAATATATGGTCAGATTACATCATCTTATTTAATAAATTAAAACTTAAAATGAGTTAATGCAATAATGAACATTACTAATTATATGACATACAAAAAATGAAACAGTTTAGCTTTGTGACCACGGCTAGCTGTAAAGTTGTTAAACAAAACTGGTAAAATTTAACCAGACAAACTTTAACATTTAACAAAAGGAATTTAATTAAACACAAACACTACATAAAGAAAGTTATACGACAAAACTAACAAGAAGTAACACAACGAAATATTACTCAAAAGAAAAAAAAAGTACATGTTAATAGTCCTCTGCCGAAACTCGAATTAACTAGTTCGGGCGTAGGTGTTTTTGAATAGTGTCCGATAAGGTGACGCTGCAGTACATGGGGCTGTTTGCTAGCGTTCGTTACATCAGAAGAAAAATTATAAAGCCAGGTAAGACTGATTAAAGTGGCAAATACCATCAGCAAGAGATGCATGAAATTTATAAGCTGACTATATATATAAAACAGGTAAGCTATGAAATATGATAACTTTTTAAATACATAAAATTATTTAAAATTATTTTCCAATGTATAATAAAAAACAATATTTCATAATTACCGAAAAATATTAAAATTAATATTTTGTCCGATTAAAGTATAAGATATTTCTCCCGCCTTCTCAGCAGGCCTTCGTGGTGTTGTTGTCAGCACGCTCGACGCGTATTCGAGAGGTCCGTCGTTCGAGTCCCGGCGAGAGCATCGCTTATTTTTCCTCATTCCTGCTTCCAAAATAACCTAATGTCTCTACAAAACGATAAAGTGCTATTTGTGACTTCGTAAATCATTTCACACTCATTCCGTTAAAATAAGGACATCCTGATTCAGAAGTCAAACAACAAAAATCAGTGTTATATTTTCAAATTTTCACAGGACTAGTTTCGATGGTTTTACCGAACCACCATCCTCAGCTGCAAAACCGCAAATGAACGAGGACATTCTGCTTAAAGTGAGGCACGGAAAGAACAGAATTGAAAAGAATAGGCTTACTATCAGCTTTTAGAAGGCTATTATGTGTGACTCGAGCGTGGCGCATTCTAAAGTTAAAAGAATTTTCTTTCTCTGGTTTCTGTCAACCTCCCAGTACTCTACTTTAAGTTTTATATTTTCAGCTTGTTATGCAGCGGAACGTACCAGAGTCACTGCAACTTCATTAGCGCTTTTCGCTTGTTGACAGTGTTGATACCTCTGGAAAGAACAAGTCCACTGTACAGTTCAATACCAGACATTACTCTAATGTCTGCCTGTCATTACCTTATACCCTTGCATGTCCGTAAACCCAGCAGTAAGTAATTTATTATCCGTAGTTCCTTAAGTGCCACTGTAACTTCAGAATCGTAGCAGCTACTGGATTCTGTGTGTTAGCATTCTAAAGTCATTATACATAATGAAATTTCACCGGCACAGCGTAGATAGGAAGAAAAGTGCATAATATACATCAGCTATATCAGAGATTAGAAATGACCAAACATCACGTAAAACATATGCAGTGCTTATGCTTGCAAATCAAAAAGATATTCTAATATGATAAGTTCCTTTCGACCCGCCTATACATACAGTAATGAGCCACCCAGACGATATAGTGGTTAGGGGAGCCTGACTGCGATACCAAAGGTCCCGGGTTCGAATTCCGGAGAAGGCATGGATGTAAGACTGTCTGTCTCTTCATAGGAGGTAACGGTGGCCGCCTATTAGGTGCCTTACATAATAAAATAGTCACCGCTTCTGGCCTTAGGAGTGGCCAATGCCATTATAGGCAAGTGCCCGCCATTTGTAAAAAAATACAGTTATGTAGCTGCTGTATTTTTATGTATGTTCCTGGAAAGATTGTTTCTATATAACCTCGTAAGTATTTCTTTTGTTAAAATAGTGGAAGACATCAAGAAACTGGATCTGCATACACTCACTCCCCCAAGGTTAAATTTCAGTAATGCTTTCTAATAAATTTCAATATGCTTGTTTGGGTACACATATCAGTTCACGGTAGTCTTCAATCGCAGAGTGACTCTTTGAAGAGAAAGAAGGCACATAAGATGGTCGTACTTCAAAAGAATGGTCAAGCTGTGATAATATAGCGATATAATGATGAGACATCTGTTAACGTCTGAGCTGGAACAGAAGCTCGTAGAGACAACATACATGAACTAGACAGATGTCCTAAGGACTAGAGAACCAATCAGCAGGATTCAATGAAGAATTGGATGGAGGTTCGTTAGAAATGAAGAAAGTGAAAATCCGTAAGCTAGCAAGCAATAATCAATATTGAAAAGAGAAATTCTCTCTAAATATGACTCATAGAGCTAATATGGTCTATTTGTTCATGACCTACAGCATATCTACGAATCCCTTTGACTCTGCGACCTTTCTTTTATTGCGTTTCCTTTTCTTTTTCAAAAGTTCCCCATCTTTTCTGTGTTATCTTAAAGTGCCATGGCATTTTCTATTCCACGATCGTTTCAGGAAGATATTTTGATATTATTAGGTATATAGCTGTAGTTACCTGAAATGTGTCTGTTAATATTGCAGAGCTTTCAATTCCTGTAAGATTTTTAGATACGGAAAACGATCATCGTCGTTTGCATATTATAGATATTTTAAGACTGCACAATTCTACTCAGTGCTTTAGTAGGTGATATTTATACATGCTACTGGTGCCAACAATGTTTCGTTTTGTAGACTTAACAATTTTTAGAGTACCTCTGGTTTTGGAAATGATTCTGGCAATGATACTTTTCATTAACTACCTTTACGCATTGTACCTAGAACATACTAATCTAGTTTAAAAATTATTTTGCTATATTTATTTCTAAGAGTGGGATGGGGTTTTCGGAGAAAAAACCTATAGCTCTATGGGTTCGGTGGGTAGACAAAATATGAAGACCGCTGATTTAGAAACATAATGTATGGACACGTTTACATTATTTCCTTTCTCAACAGGTTTCTTATCAATAATACTACTGAGCTGTCAAAAAATATGTATGCAAAATATTATGCGATGTGAAATAACAATCTTATCTCATTTATTGAAGAAACTTTGAGTTAGGAATAATACATTTACCTATACAAGACCTGGTTCCCACCGAAAATGGAATGTAAGAATATGTGTCTCTCTTTCGGATGTTTTCCGAAGAAAATCTGTCTGGATCAAATTTTTCCGGATTTGGAAACATCTCCGGATCCCTGTGAAGCATGTAGACAAGAGTAGCAATATGACTTCTGGCCGGAATTGTGTACGAACCTGAAATAAAATGCTTTTAGTTCACATTCACTCTATGCACTTTATACAAAAATTCATACCCATATTCTTTGTAGCAAATGGCCACGAGTGTTGATGTAAAGCGAACTTATTCCCAAAATCAATACTTTCTTGGACCATCTTTGACGAGCATGATTAACTATGTTTTTCTGAGATTGCTCTCAGCCAGTTTCTAATATTTGGCAGTTGAGAATTTTCTACGCTTTAAATTTAAATTTTTATGAAAGAACTCTTAGTTAATGGTCAGACTCATCCAGAATTAAGATCGTTTAAGGTTTGCAATTAATTGTATACGTGTTCGGTCGAGCTGAGATAGGTATTTTGAGTCCATCGTGTTTTGTATTTCAACTAAGTCTTTGACAATTACTCAAAGATATTTGTCGACTTTTTACCTTTTCAAGATAAAACGCCTCTAGTTAGAGTTCGTCCATAGATATGATAGATCCATCCGTCGATTGATGGATTCAATTTATCTTACAGTAAGGAGTATGAAATCATGTTGAAAGAAGGAAAGATCTATTCCGAAGCACTGCCATATAGCAGAAGTACATAACTGTTTAGGATGTCCGTGCAATTTTCATCACACAAGTTTAAGAAAAATCTCAGTCGTTTCCAGCAGTAATAGCCCACAAAGCATAGTATGTTCAATCTAATTTTATATTATAATACGACGAAAGCCGTGTTTCCACAGTGTTTTCTGAGACTGATACTGAGTAAACAGATAATTTCTAACGGACTTGATTCTTGTTACTGATATCATAAGATTACGCATATACCACAGAAAGCTCAAGGTCAATATTCAAGGTTACCAGAAAATTCAAGGTCAATATTCATATCGACTCAGCACTGTAGCACGAAACTAGGGGTTGACATAAAAAGGATAAGCAATGCGCATTGTTTCAGGGCTCCCAATGAAACTTTGGAAATAAATAAAATTTCAAATCAAACATTCTTGCTCTGTCATACGATGAAGGCAAAGAAATTGTATAGTCTATTTTGACACTTTTCTAGGAATAGGGTATAACACAATTTCCATTCTTTGCTGCATTTCCTAAAACGGCTGAATGAAAAAAAAAAGTAATATTCATACAACCGCTGATTATGCATTATAAACCCTAACAGCGGCTACGTATAATCGTGGTAATTTGATTGTTTAGAATATGGTAAAACATGCGAAGGTTGTTTGGTTGAGAAGAAGAATACGTTCACGGAGGGTATTTGAATGAAACCTCATTCATATTCACGTTAACTTGGGAAAAACAGGCAGCCTGCCCGTTCACTGGGATTTAAACTCTGGTAGAATTATCAGGGTTCAACGGCCTGATGCGGGTATAATGTGGTCTGAAACTGTGATTAATACGAACGCTATGTTTATGCGATATATGATAACTTAGTTTTATACATCCTAAATATATGCTAAAATTTAATTGAAAAATATGTAAGAAATATGTTACGATTTATAGCATTTTCCCGTGCATGCCTTTATGACGCAAGGGTTTAAAAATATAGCTAGCAGCTGGAAAATGTGTAGTTAGATTTTGGCTAGAACGAGGTGAATTTTCATATTATTGTGTTCTACGGGTTTATGGATTTGGAGGGATTGACGACAACACTTGATGGAGAATCAAAGTGCAATTTGTTTAGCAGTATTACTCAGGGCAGTTCCAAAAATACGTTTACAGTCGTCGAAAAGACTGTGTTAAACACGCTAAAACAATCAGCAACACAGCCTTCAGGCTATCGGGCTCTAACGGTGAAGACAGCTTCACGGCAAAGCTCTAAAGTGCAGCTTCCGACTCGGTCGACAGCTCTCGAGCTAATCTTTGAACTCAAAGCACTATTCACGATAAACTGCTACTTCTTGTACAAGCAGGGTTTATATAGACTTTTGTCCTGTCTTCGAGAATATTCCGAGGAAAACCCGTAAGAATTCGTTCTAGAATGCTCTCGCTCCGTCTATGGCATGTCACCAAGTGGGCTATTTCGTGTCAAATTAGGCAACCCTGCCTTTCTTTGCCATTTTCTGGTAACCTTAACCCGCTTTGTGGGAAAGCTATCTCACCGCAGCTGGGTATTTCATAACAATATATTCTGTTTGGGATACGTGACAGTGTTTTCAGTGGCACACAAATTCATTTCTTTTCACTATTGCCCGTTCCACCGGCCGTTCATTTAAGCTTAACCTGTCAATTAGCGGGGCATTTTTAAAGGATTTACATCAGTTATTATTTCGCACGTTCATTATCTCCGACTTTTGTCAGCATGGGAATGTAAATTAGGTTCAAGTATAAATAAACATCCAGTTTTAAAATTTGCGAATGAGCATTTAGTAACATAAGCTGGATATTATAACTCTACTTCAAATATTTTGCTGTTTCAAATTAGCTTGGAAGAAATAAGCTTTCGCCTGCAACCATTTTCCTAGCCAGCAATTATGTAGCGATAGCCACGGTTTAGGCTGAGCTTTGATAATATTACATCTTGCATTCAATTTAATTTCACTTGCATTAAAAAAAATATGTGTCTGTCTGTTAACTAGCGGGGTTTTTCCTCTTAAATTTTTCAGTTTGTGTAACTGTCAGTTCGACGTGCAAATAAACAGTTTTATTTCGGATTTTAAACTAGTTGTGATGAATCCAGTGAAGAAGTCAGATAGGACAGATAGACGTCAGGCAACATTTTGCGGTTACTTTGGTAGTTCTGAATACGTAATACTACTTGTAGGCCAGTAAAATTCTTTTAATGCATAAATAAACAAAGGAAATATCTTCCGCAGCAAAACATTAGCATGTATATATGATACTAGGTGCAACAAAAAAAAGCATACAGAATATTACAGTATCTATAAAATTAGAATTATAAAGTTATGCTGTACAGTACTGCAACTATTCTCAAAAGCAGTAATTGCAAATCATTCCATTTCTCTTCATCGTTAAATTCACAATTTACAATTTCGATTATCACGCAGTTAAATATTAAAAAAAACTGAATTAATAAAACAATACATACGAAACCACAAATGATCTATAAACTATTAAATGCATTCATGGTGATGCCAGCGTATAAAACCACGCTACTCACAATGCGAGTGCAAGAAATACGAGAGGTTTACTATACAGTACAATATTTATATTAATTACAATATTACGTAATGGAAGAGATATGCACGAATGCAATACAATTAGTTTTAGGTGTACATTTGTGTACATGGGAGTTTCATTTATCGAAGACTGTATGAACATCTTTGTTAAATGACGGTCAAGTATAAGTTTTTACATTGTTTTACGCGCTTAAATTCGTATGCTTTTAGATGTTAATGAGTTTATGCATGCCAAATAGTGTTTATTTGACTTATACTGCAGTGTTTCTGAATAGTCAGAGACATAACGATTCGTGTGGAAGACCTCTTCGTATTCATACTGGCCTCTCTCTCTCTGAAATTGAATTGGTGAAGGTAATTGACATGTGAGTCATGAAAAGTTAAGTACTGCATAAGAATGGTACTTTTATAATTTTAAGAATGTTAGAAACGCATTGGAAAACGTTATGCATTATCCTGCCAGTGAGTTCTATATCCCCAAAATGTTGTTATCCTGCCTCTAATAGGTGAGACTGCGCGTTTGGCTGTAGCATTGTTCATGTCAGCCCCTATCGCATCTCCCAAAGTAGAAATCCTGTGGACGTAACATCTGCAAGCAAATGGTATTGTTAGCAGGGATTACTAAATACCCTTTACTATGTTTTCTTGCATTTCTGACCTTACAGTGCTCGCAGGCCAGACTCTGTCTCTTAATTAGATGCTATCATTAAAACGCTCAGAAATGGCATGTTGTGGCTGCCTCTAAAGGGAAAAATCCCTTTTAACCACTTATGTACTTTACCAATTTCTTATTTTATGTGCGTATTACTATATTATACTCTGAAATGGACTGCTGCTCATTTCAAGATCCCATTTTTAACTACACTCATGTCCATAAATTAAGGATAATGCAAAATCAGGCAAAGGAAGAGTTAGGAGCAAAAAAAAAAATTTGACTTATTTGTAAGGATTATTTATTAAACAAAAGGTAAAGAGCAAAAAAGATGCTATATGTTTGGTGTTATTAAAAAAATAGCGAATTTTTCTCCCTGGAGCAAATTACAAAAAAAAACCTATTTACAAAAAACCAATATTACATGGTTGGTATGATTGTTAATACATTGTATGTCTCCCAGACGATGCAATACAGTCCGTACAACGCCTAGGCATGCTGAGTATCAAATTATCGATCTGATCTTGGGGGGGGGGGTATTACACCACTCAAAAAGCAATGCTCTCCGAAGTTCCGGTAGACATGCACGAGGAGGTTGACGGGCTCAATTCGTCGGCCAAGCATGTCCCGCACGTGCTCTCCTGGATTCAAGTCCGGTGAGAATGCTGGCCAGTCCATACGGGTGATATCCTCCGATTGAAGGCATTCGCTTACGATGTTTTCACGCTGAGGACGGGCGTTGTCATCCATAAACACAAATTGTGCGCCCATGGCGCCCCGAAACAAACGTACATGTTGTTCCAGAATGACGTCTCGATAGATTTGGCTTGTCGTGGTTCCAATTTCAAAATGCAGGCCAGTTCTGGAATCCAGAATAATTCCACTCCAAACGAGCACTCCTGCACTACCGTAACGGTGTCATTCAATGATGTTTTCTTGGTGGTAACGGGTACCTGGACTCTCCATATGAAAGTCTGGCGAGAATCAGACTGCAAGCTAAACCTGGACTCGTCGGGAAACATCACGCAAGCCCACTGTTGCGGTGTCCACAATGCATGCTCTCTACTCCAGGCTAACCGCAGGCGACAGCGAGTTGCAGTAAGTGGAACGCATCTGACAGGTCTACGAGGATATAGACCAATCTGTCCTAAGCGTCTGTACACGGTCTGCCTTGGAATTGTCGTACCAGTGGCTGAAGAGAGCTGAGGAGACAGGTCTGAGGCTGTGCTCCACTGTGTGTACTAGATAGCCTCTTGAGTCCTGTATTCGGGCACGTACACAAAAGCTGATTCATGTTCTACGACCAGATGCAGTATTCTAAATTTGCAAGTACGTTAAGTTACGTTATTCGAATATATAGAAGCCATGAGGGCTATTTGTCTAAGAGGAGAAATGCACCACAGCATTGTCTAAGAGGAGAAATTGTCTAAGAGGAAATTGTCTAAGAGGAGAAATGCTGTGGTGCATTTCTCCTCTTAGACAATTTAGAGGACTGAGGAGACTGCTTCGTATTCATGATAGAGATGGAGAAAACCACGAAAAACAATTATGCAGGGAGCTCATGTGCTTGCGATCGACCCCAAAGCAGATCGAACTACCAGTATTCAAAGGACTTAATCACTCGGCCGCTGGTGGGGTCACGAAGTTTAGAGAAAGTGATATATATTCTTTCTGAGAGATAAAGGGAAGAAACTGACTATTGACTAATTTTGTTTCTATAAACCATATATGCGGACCCACATGGAACCCTCATTCCAGAACAGTCAGCTTCACTACAGCTACCCGCTTCACAATCCCTTCCCCTGAGAAACTTGAAAGAAATTTCCTATCTATAAATCAATCGACATAAAATAGGTATATGTATCCTTCTCGTTCGCTCAATGCCTCGTCCGCTCGCTTATGACTCGTGCAATCACCTTTTAAAAGGCTAATAGTCTATATAATTTAACTTCTACGTAAAATGTTACCAAAATTAAACAGACATTACATTATCCCTTTGCGGAGTGTTTTTCGCACCCGTTTTGTGCGTATAGAAGTACTAGATTTAGGTCTCTTAGATTAATTCTCAACAAATGGTACAGAGATGAAACAATAAGGCACTTGTAATTTATAGTAACACATTTAGCGCCAAGAAATGACAGAATAATAAAAAAAGTGGTTTTCAAAACAAAGCACAGAGTAAAAGAGAAATGCCCTCGTTCTTTCTTGCCTATGGTCGTGACTGTCCTGAGAAGACAAGCTTAGGCTTGTATTACGTTAACACTCTCTTAAAATCCTTGTTTCTTCGACGAGTATTCTGTAGCTTAATAAATAGTTGATAGTGAATCGGTGAATTTGAGGACAAGATGTTGGTTTTCATATCATTTTGTAATAAAGGACGCATACAGAGCCTAACATTATTATTCTTTGAAGATATTTTTCAAAAAGTCGTCACTGTGATTACTGTAGAGAAACAATTAAGGAAAACTCACCAACTTTAATGGCTTCTTCATTTTCTCTTATCGTTATTGAGGCAGCAGGATAGAGTCGTATAGTTTCCTAAAGTTTATAATAATTATTAAATACGTTTAGAAGTAGTTGATATCAAAGACATCATTATCAAGTTTTGACATCATTATCATAATTATATTATTCTAGACATCATTATCAAGTGATAATAAGATTTCTCGTTCACCGTTTTGGTGAGAGAAAGAGGAAAAGAAAGAAAAATGCGATAAAAATAATTACATACTTCATTCTCACCAATCATTGATTTTGATATGCAGGTTATGTTCCGGTAAGATACGCTTGACAGCTTGGCTGCATAGTTAGTACAATCAGCTGCAGGATGTCATCAATGTACAAATACTAAACCTTGCAACACTGTTAAAAGACATCGGCTATTCAAAGAGGTAATCTTCTGATAGATAAACTATATTGAGTGTTTAGGACTCCATTGAGTTAGATATTAATCCAGTTGCTAAGTTAATCTTTATTTAGAATTTATGCTATTTGACCCAGACTGGTGTTGCCTTAGTAGAAGATGCTTATTGCATATTCAAAAGAATTGTACGTTCTGCAAAGTCAAGGAGACTTATAAGAGACTTATATTTAGCCCAAAGGAGCCTAGAAGTTGCCTAGAAGACTTATATTTAGCCTAAGTTAGCCTAGAAGGCCTATTGTCTCGAGACGGCATTTTTCCTCGGTTCACTATACACAGCGTATCATTTTTAAAATTGTTGGCATCAAATATTATCAACCTGTGTTATATTTAAAATTTAAATAACCAAGAATCTGCATGAATATATGTGTATTTCTATTGTTTTGAAAAAACGACGGTAACTAGAGCCATCAAATTTCGAATAACGTAATTCTCCACCATGGGCACCTGAAAGCTCGAATATTGAATTCCGAATTTGTTTTATTATCTACATAATATTTTATAAACCTTTAACCAATTTTTGATTACAAACTCAACGATTTCAAAGCGAACAAGGCAGCACTGTACGGGAAGAAACATTTTTATCTCTACAGTGCGAGACTGTGTATCGGAAATTCTAATGTATGCTGTTTTTAAATATTTTGAGATATTGATGTTGAATTGAATTTTATGTGGTTTAAGTACCAAAACATGATATTTAATAAATAAAGGTAACACACAAAACGTTCAAACGCTCCTTTGGGCGTAATATAGAATCTGAAAGCTATCAGATTTTTTTTTTTTGTTTTTGTTTCATTTAAATTTAACCCTCAGAATAAAAGAAAGTTAAAGTTTTACTGGTTTTGTAATGGGTTTACTCAGTTAAATTAAGCTACAGATGATAGTTCGCATCATAGTTTTAAGATAACTCTGAATGATGAGATTTGGACTTAAGTACTTAATAACATAAACGGTCAGTTGTTATGCAATTATAATTAGGAACAAATACATAATAAAACACATACAGATATTTGTATAAAATTATAACAAGATAAAACCTATAGTCCTTAACATTGCTTAAAATCTTGATGTATTTTGTGAAATACTGAATTCATTTTAAGAAGGCAACTTCGATTAAAATATTTGTTAATTGTAATTTTTGAACATATATTATCTTCATCAATTCATAAGAGAATATAATTAAGGAAATATTTCAATAAAGTTTTCTAATACCTTGATAACTTGTTCTAAATATATCATATTTTTCAAATCTTCTTTACTAACATCTCTTGTCTTGTCATCACCGAATATGAAATACAACTCTTGGAAGACTTTTTGTTGGATATCTGGGTGAAGGCCTAACAGGTAAAGGGCCCAAGACATTGCGATTGTGGACGTATCATGCCCCTGGAAGAACGCATAATTTCAGCATTTAAAATAATCTTCAAAAAGTACAATTAGATGTCTGATAGGTTTAGAAGTATAATCAGAAAAGTATTTAAAACCCAGGTTTCCAGAAGCGGGCATAAGACTAACATATGAATTTCAAAATACTCATATATATTTAAAACTAGGCAGCAAACTAACTAGCATGGATTTTGAATAATTTCAGCTGATTCAGCTAATTTTCTACGGATTTCGAGGACGATTAGACATTTCGGTTTTGATATCAGATCCCTCTTCTTCAAAGCACAGTTTCGTCTTGGAAAGTTTCCTTTATTAAAATATTAAGCAATTCTTTAAAAGCAAAATATTGCTTTAGCTCTTAAAGAAGCGTGACATATGTTTGTTCTTCTTTGAAATCCACAGAATATTAGTCCAAATCTATGCTATTCTAAGACTACTCCTTTTGCACAGATAGAAGTGTTATTTGTCATATTTCTCTTCTCATTACACACGTAAAAGATCGGTAAGAAATTGAGAGGCCCACCAGTTGCTGAGCAATCAAGTCGCTGAACACTGGTAGTTCGGTCCAAGGTTCGAATCCCGCAAACGGGCTGGCTGTAGGAGCGTTTTCGTGGTTTTCCTATGTGTGACTTGTATAAGAGCCAGTTTCACTCAGAAAGTCCTCCCCCCGTTTTTTTGGCAGATAGCCTTCACAGCGCTTCGCCGTAATCGAATAAACCAAACCAAACTAGATGAAAGTTGTTTTGAATCATCTCTCAACCTCGATCACGGATTTTTTAAATTTGTATCTCTCAAAGTCAACATGAACTTAATTTATGTAATGTTAATGAAATATTTGGATATCTGAGGAAACTGAAATATACATTTTTAACAATTAAAATAATGCCTTACAACATTATTCGTTCTGAATAAGATTGTTTGCAAATACTACACAGCTGAATATGAAGGTAATGTAAACTTTTACGGCAAAAACGCAAAAAGTAATTTTCTGTAGCACATTAAATCCGCGAAGCTATAAGCACATATCAAGAGAAAAATGGTAACCAAACTGATTAGTGTAGCATAGTGGCTTTGAAGTCACATAATTATGAGAAACGGTTTTCAGAAGAGACACATATATGCATTTATTGATTCCCTTTTAAGTGGGCCAATCTAGTTGAAAGATTGTTCTTGCAACAGCCAGACATATTGGGTGTAGCATCCTAACAGAAGTTGCAGAACGTTTTTGTCATTCTTCAGTTCTGTGCGTTTTTTACAGTTCTTATGGTAGCATTCCAATGGTATTTTCCAAAAATCAGTATTCGGACACACGTAGTCACTTATGTTGGGTTCCGGAATATTGACATTCCTTTAACCTAATGTGACTCTCTCCTACTCATCAGTTCGAATCCTCTCCTGAACATGTTTGACGAGATGACGGAATGCGCTTAAACTTTCTTGATCAACCGGTTAACCTTAAAATGCATCTGATAGGTAGTATTTTATGTTTAAAATATATCCGATAGGTAGTATTTCAGGTTTTATTCGCATTGAATAACACATCACATTATTACCCATCAAACAAACTCTTGCATCCAATCCACATAGCCTACTAGATTTTGTTAAGTTATATTTTACAGCTTAGTAGTAGATAATCCAAATAATTTTCTTCTAACTTATAAACACAGTATTCGCGGAATTTTTCAGCTAAGGGGTAATTTCTTCCGATTTTCGTCGTATCTCATTTTACTGACATATTCATTCACTGCTCGACATTTAAAGTGCAGCACCAAGAAGGAGTGGTCAGAAATGTATGCAAATTTTAGAGAAGACGCACGTCACTGATTAGCCTTAATTTCGTATAATTAGCCTTATTGCATGTTTTTCCCACATCACGTGATCAATTGTATTGTACCGCTATGCATCAGTTACTACAGTTGGTACGATCCGTCCATAATTGGTAGTAACCATGTCTCTTTGTATATCTTCAACACAGTTGCATGCTAAATATTTTGTATACTAGTCTTTCTAACTATTGCTGTACTATAGGGATTAATGCGTACCGAGATCAAATTATGGTTGTACTACCTTCTCTGTATCCCATCATACTGCGGTATTGACATGACTTTGCCATAGCGAATATCTGTTTATTACACTGACATCATTGTTTTGTCAAATAATGTACTTGGCTATGCAATTATCCGATCCAGTCTCTGAATTTAGTCGATTCTGAATGCTTTACCGCATTCCCATGTATCAGTACTTCAGTCACACAAGATGGCTATTGTATTATTTATTTTTATTTCTTTTGGTATATCCTCTGTGTTATTGCTGTAATCATTTACATCATTATGTCACTATGTTCTCTATTTTTATGTTATTGTCATTAAGTCTAATTCTACTGTCTATATTTACTCATGTATATTATTGGGCTGCTCAACATCAGACTGTACTTTAGTTTTATATCATATTTGTGTGTATTTACACCTTTGTAAAATTTTTGCTTATTGTCAAACTCGCCCTTTTTGGCCCTGCACGCTTTTGTTTTTTATTTAATAAATGTGGGGCCTGGGCGGTTGTTTGGCCTGTCTTTCGTGGCATTTGGTGGTGGATTGCCCGGGTTGAATTTGGCTTTGGGTTGAGAGCCCGGTGTGGGGCGCTTGTGATTCCTCTTTAGGCTTAGATATAGGGGACGTGGTGCTATCCGATTAACCTTTTGGTAAAGGGACAGTGCCCACGTCCTCCGTTGCTTATCGCTTATCCTACTGAGCCGACATCGTTCTCGCTCTGTATTCTGACTATCATTTTGAAATAAAGATTACTTATTGCTGCTTGCTGTCTCTGTCTTTTTTCCAAATTTTATGACTTTTTGACCACTCCTTCTTGGTGTTGCATTTTCAATGTCGAGCAGTGTATAACACCCACGAATATTCTAGTGACAAAGAGCGCAGTGTTTGCTCCTATCGAGCTTTTATAACGAAACTTTGAATAGCTGTGAATTTGATTTTCGGAAGCTAACCATTAGGAAAGTTTTACGACGGCGATTACCAGTTGCAGCTATTGCTAAGTTTATTATTGCTGCATTTGTTGTTACATTTCGTGCAACATTCATTGTTACGTATATTACTACATTTATTAGTGAATACATCAGTTGCAGCTATTGCTGCATTTCGAACCAAATTAATATGTTAAATGATATGAATTTTAAAATCGTATGCAAGAATTAATAGAAGATAATTTTCCCGCTCGTCTGATTCATTGCTGCGGAAGAGTAAAACCGTCACGCTGTTCGGATATGAGAACTGAAAAGTTGTCAATTTCAAGTTAACAGAAACGGGATTCATCGAAACTAAACATTTTCTGCGTCAGTAAAAAATAGAATCAAAGAAATATAGTCCTTTTTACTTTCGAGACTTCTTTTGACGGATATTTAATATATTGCACTTGAAGTTATTTTGGCAAAACAAAATGGTTTAGAAGCATTAATATTTCAGCAAATGCAGCTCCATCAGATTAGCACATTGAGGTACATCTCTAGATAAATGTTAAACTTCCACGTCGTGAGAGTGGCCAACATATAGAAATGATTCAGCGATGTTCACATAGCAACCATCGTCTCCCGAACTCTCGTCACATGATTTTGTTTTCCTTTGGATGCATGTTAGAAAGCGTCTCCATTGCCAACAATATGACAAGAGCTCTAGGTTTGCCTTGTAGCTGCTCTGATAATTATCAGCGAAGAAGTTTATGACGTGTGCGAGTAGAGTTGGAGCACTGATTGCAGGTGTTTCGTGTAACAAAAGGACCACACATGGAAACTTTATAATGTTACGTTGTATTTTATGTGTATAAGAGCATTATTTAATGATAAAGTATATCTAATGACATGAATTACACCTTGAAATAAAATTCAGTCGATATCAATCTATATCGAATGTCGCTGAAAACTTAGTCATCAAAGCTTTTGCCAAGAGGGAAATCAACATTTTTAGCATCAACGATACCCTACTCTCCACAGGAAAGAAATTTACAGTTTTTAGTCACAAACCAGATTAGTCTACTGAGTACTGTTTGGTGAAACAAAGTTCTTTCTTCGGCTTTGATTTCCTTACAATGTAAAGGCATTTTTGTCAAAATACCCAGCCGAAATCATTGATTCACTGTGGATAATTTTTATTTAAACAAGCTACCAAAGAAATTGTCCTTGATTAAGTGATTCAGTCTTAATGATATCGATCCTGTATTGCACAATTACATGTTTCCAAATCTACCTGATGACTGAAATATGTGCAACATAATTAAGATAAAATAACACGCCAAACAATTATTAATTTAGAAGTCAAACAACAAAATTCAGCATTATATTTGCTAATTTTCACAGAAATCCGTGAAAATTTGCAAATATAACGCTGATTTTTGTTGTTTGATTTCTAAATTAAGTGCAACATATTCAGAGAAAATTTAGCATATAATATTATAGTCTCGTCTGTCTTCGTTCCTGTCTTAAAATAACACTGACATTTTGCAAAAACAAGAATAGCATTCTTTCATCAAACGTACAGATCTTAAGTGTATCTAAATAAAACTGAGAATAACGCCAACGTTTCTTTGATTGAAATTGTAAATCCATTAACAGCAAACTTACAGCAAACATGAAAGTGTCTACTTCTTCTCGAACATCATCGAGCGTAAAGTCAGGGTGTTTAGCATGTTGTTCCAATAAAAATTCCAAGAAGGCTTTGCTTCCTTTCTCAGAGTATTCACTCTTTTCGTTGTTGATTTTATCCAGTTTTATGAATTCTTTCTTCTCTTGAATGACCTGAAATAAAAAAGCGTTATTTAAACTATAATTATATATACACAAATAAATAATGGCGGATGGGGAGGAAAACATTAAGAATATGCAGCATGTTCCTTACACCATAATGGCGTTTTTACCAAAATACCCAGTAAGTATCAATCTCTTTCGAATGTAGCTGATAGAAACTTTAAAATAAACCTAGTCGTCAGTACTGTCTGTCCCCAGGAAAGTAATCTGCGTTTACAATATATTTTGCTCCATTTTTGTCTGTAGTAAACTTTTCTAGTTTGTTGCTCTTGACAGTTTTCATATTATGTTTAGTCTTCGTAAAATCCCTTCATTCTGTTTCAGTCCTTTGTCATCGGTTTCTAATAGAATAAAGAGTTTGAAAATGTTTCGAACAGAATAAAGAATTCTTTAATATACGGCAGGACATTCCACATTCTTTAATACTGTACATGTAAATTGAGTAAATCAAAATATATTATTAATATTATTTGTTCTTTTATATCTACCTATGAGCTTCTCTGTCTTGCAGTGTGTAAGCTTTTAAGCTTTTTTTATGTCCACCAGTACTACAAATAAAGGAAAAATCTCATTAGCAACCAACCTCCAGAAGCAGAGTAGCTGCAATATAGTGTAATATCTTGTATATAGTGTACATAATTGTATATATTTTTCCTTTATATTTTTAATCTGTCTGTATTTGTATTGTATTGTTACTTTAGACATTGTGCTTTTATTTCAATTAACTTAGGACGTTTCACATGCTGTCCATGATCACGCGATGCCTTGGTCCCCTCTTTTTCCACATCCTCCGCTCCCTCTAGAATACCACGGGGAGATAGTACCATGTGATGCGAACATGTGACAAATTTGATTGAGCCGGAAAAAGTGCACACTGTGGGGTAGTCCGGTAATAAATTAGTCAGTCGGTTAGTCAAGCAGAGTAGATTTAAGGAATCTAACGTCTTAAGCATCTAGCCAGATCGAGACTGCTAGTCCTTAAATTCTACTTGTTCTTAAAATTTGTCAAAGTATAAGGTATTTCTCCCGCCTTCTTAGGGTGCTTTCGTGGTGTAGTGGTCAGCACGCTCGACGCGTATTCGAGAAGTCCGTTGTTCAAGACCCGGTGAGAGCATTGCTCATTTTTCAAGTCTCCCGTTTGCAAAAAAATCCTAGGAATCCTGTAAACACCAGCTTTTATTGCTAACAGGTAATTCAGGCATGCCATATCAACCGGTCTGGAAACGTTGGTTCTTGTGATCCTCAACCCTTTTATATTTTACACTTTACGTAAAGTATTATAAATCACGGTGAGAGAGATAATATATCCAATAGTTAAAACATAGGTCTTTTTAACCACTTCATCAGAAATATCTTCATTTTCTGATCGATTATCAGTTGGAACTTAAGCCAATAATATCTCTAACTTCCATCTTCCGTTTTTTCTCAATAGGTCTGTGCAGTAACAGATATATGTAAAGAAAGTGTTCTTAATCTTACGGGACCAGATATAGATTTTTGCGAATTGAATAGGGTTTCCTTTTCTCTGATTTTAGTGACACACAAAAGAGTTTGCGTCAAAGGAAATAATGCTTTTCTTGAGGCCGTTTTAAAGTAAAGTGCATAATGTCCAAGTTACACACGAGAGAAAGCTCTGATGCAATCTATCCTTTTGCCAGTATGTGAACCCCGGTTGTACTACTCAGTCGAAGATTTACATCACTGATTCAAGTTTCTATCACTGTAAAAAGAAATGAATTTGATTGCAGCTATTGTTCGGTTGCACTAGTGTCATTGAAAACGGAACTTTTCGACAATTTTTGAAGTATTTTAACCTTTTCAACGCCGTGGGAGCTTACAAATGACGTTACATATTCTTTATATTGGCATTCAAAAATTTTAAATTCAATAACTTAATATAAGGTTGGCTTTTTTGGGGTATTATAAGCTATTGTCAAACTCCTAACAGACGTAAGGCAAATCATGGCAGGTTGCGTTAACAGCAGAGCCTTGAAAAGGTTTAAAACAACATTTTTATTGAAGTCAGAACTTGACCATAAACGCACGTCTCTTGCTAATATATATCACCTGTGACGATGTAACTTAAAATGGCAGTAAAACTCAACTAAGACTAGTTGACAAACGCAACTAAGACTATTTAAACTCAACTAAGATTAGTTGACAAACGCAACTAAGACTATTCACCTAAGATTCAAAACGCGAACCTGACTCAAACGCAAAACGTCTAAACGACGCGTAGCAAATTACAACGTCTCGCCAGTAATTAACAAGACGAAGAATTAAAATCTTATCAAATCTAGCGGAACCTAATAATATAGCCTCGAGAGAGGTAGGAACGCACTCTGTTTCACAATTCAAAATCCTTGACTTAAATAATCTAAAGCTAACTTTGCATTCTGGTAGGGAAACGGAAAGGAGAAGTGACAGCAAAGATTTAAATCTTAAACTAACTGATTACGCAAAATAATAATAACCTTACAAGCTTAATAATGCTTTGAATAAAAAAGTTTCGGAAGTTATTTATTTCTTACAATTGAAATTTTATTTGCCTTAGTTCTCAGTTTTAAAAGTTTTGTGAAAACATATGTAAAATAACTGGGTTCATTACAAATGACATCTCCAGATTTTTTTAAAGTAATGCACTATCTAAAATAAAGAGATGGTTTCTACACGATCTTAGTTTTGACTGTAAGGATCTTAAGTTTTACTAACGTTTATTTTATTTTAAATCTTTACTATCACTTCTTATTTCTACTTCCGGCCAGAGTTAAGCGTGAAGGAGTTTAGGACGTTGTCTGGCGACGCCAATATTTAAGTGGTGGCCTTTTTGCAAGCAAAGGAGGAGCCGTGAGTCGAAGAGGCCGCTTACCTTAGAAGTTACGCAGTTCTACTTTGCTTCCAGGCCAGAGGTTTTATCCTCTTGATAAATTAAACATTGTAGTGTCACAGTCTCTGTGCATCCGCTTTCTGTTATTATAGCCAATCTTATTCTAAGTTTATTAGAGTTTGTGTTATTTTGATCTCTTTTAAGTTAGACCCCGGTGGCGGTATTGTATTGAAGTACGGAGTCATTGTATATAAGAAAAAAAAAAGGGTTTTGTATACCCTTCGTCTGTATCCTGTCTACTTACTACAGTTAGTGAACGCTTAGCTCTCTGTCTAGTCTGGTCATTGTAGTTTAGAAGAAACATAACCTGCTAGTGGCGCCCGCGAAGCCCCCTGGCCGAGTTTCAAGACCTGTGGCTGCTGCCGAACAGCTCAGAATCCAGAAATGCCAGTGCCGCCCTGGAAGGATTTGGGTATATTGTCCAGACCATGCGCGCTTCGATGAACCAGAAGCAACGTTTGGAAACTCACGGTAACCAGTTTTGGAAAATTGGTGACTTTATGCTCCTCCCGTGCACGAGTTTCAAAAGTACCTAGCTCCAGCGCTTTGAGGGGCAAGCGTTCCCTGGTCAAGGTATCGACAGAAGTCTCTTGGGTCAGCAGGAAGTCCCACCTATCCTACGCACTTTCAGATCCCTACTAAAGCCTTCCGGTTGTAAGCATCGTGCGAATAGCCCAGCCTTTCAGTAATCAACAAGCATGGACAACATTCTCGAGCTTTATTTAGAAAAGTCCGTTTCGCTCTTGTAGGAAACCGTCCGGAACCTGATAATTCAAGTGATTTTCGAGGTTATACACAAGTGCAAGACTTATTGAATTGAGAAATCCGCCTACACTGGCCAATATTTGCTCGCCATTTGAAGTAGAAGAACGGGGAGTTGAAAGAAGCCCAATATCAACAGCGAACCTTTGGTACCCAAGACTACGCAACTCAAGCAATGGCAGGAGCCGCAAAAGCGAATAAGTGGGCCGGACCCCGGCATCCAAACGCGGCGACGTCGCCGTTCATGCAACCCAGGCAAAAGTCTCAAGGCCAAGTGGAGAAGAGGCCCGCACCGAAAGGCAAATCCTTAAACTCAAGGATTCTGCTGACGCGAGGGTGCGAAATCCGAAGGCACGCCACCCCCTTCCTACAGTTATACGTATGGTGCCAAATTTACCTTCAGAAGATTTAGTCTTGGAAATCCTCCGGCCCCCGCACCTGGCGACGGCGCGCAGTGTTCCTGTTGTGCAGAAGTCTTTTTAGAAAGTATTTCGCAAATACCGATATATAATGCGGATCTACCCAGTATTAGGGCGCAGGAGCAATGTAAGTGCGTAGGTAAAGTACCTTTGTACTCCGTATAGGACGAACAAGTAAAGGTGATGTTTTTATAAAGAATTGCAAGCAACTTCACTAGGAATGACTTTCTTTCAGACGCACCGCACACCTTTTAATGAAGCGTCCTTAAGCGACGATGAAACAGTGCGTGTAGAAAAGGTTGAACTCCAAGGTTAAATCTCGACCACCTGCCTAATGACGAGCAAGATAGAACGACAGTGGTAAGTGAATTGCTTCCTTATTTAGTGATATTCCGGATTTACCCAGGTTTTCCTAGTATTGACACGGAGATGCATTGCCGGTCGTCCCAAACCAAAACCGTATGATAGAATGGCCAATTATAGATATGGCCTCTTCGAAGCTACGTAAGATCTCCCGCTATCTCCGTAGTTTGCTAGTCGGCTGGTTTTCTGTATCCTTTGTTATCCTTGGAGATTCGCTATTGATTCGTATTGTTTAATTCCATAACGATATCCGTATATCCGTTACCGATTATAGAAGAAATTTAAGAACAGAAATCCCCCATTTATGACACTTTATTACTGGTTATTTTCACCTAGGTCAGCCTGAGGGTGCCTAAGACTGATTTTATAACCCAAGTCTGGCACTTAGCATTTTTTGCGTATGCCGTTGGGCCTTTCAGGGGCCCCAGCAACATTTTCAGCGATGCATGGACATTGTGTTAAGCCGTTTTGGAAAGTCCACTTTCTTTTAGCGCTATCATATTACTAGTGATAATCTGACCAACATGACAGGATTTAAGACAGTGTTTTCTTTAAATGGG